TTTCGAAATATGTACCTAAAGTTCCAGAACAGGTTCCTGCGTTGATAGAAAAACATAGACGCTACAATAAATATTATTACGACAAAAAGGGGAAGGATCTCCCACAGCTTAATATAGGCGAGGGGGTACAGGTCCAACTCAAACCTGATACAGATAAACGATGGCAACCCGCTACAGTTAGTCGCCAGCTAACAGAAAGAGCCTATGAGATTGATACCGGAGGAACAAAATATGTCCGTGATAGAGTGAATTTAAAAGATAGGGCAACATCTATACAAGATTTGGAAAAGGAGGAAAATCTGATTCATAAGGAAATGCGAACATCCTGTATTCCGAAGGAGCAAAAAATCAAATGAATAAGGAAAAGCCAGCATCCTGTGTTCTAACTCCAAAAAGATCCCTACATGTTGATCCATCCGATGAAATTTCCAGTGTCCTAACACCTAAAAAGTCGTTAAATATGAATGAATCGGACAGGCCCAAACGTAACATTAAACCATTTAGATTTAAGGATTTTGTTTATCAATAGTTGTAAGTTACTTATACTCAGTTAAAAAAAAGGGGCATGTTATAGATATGTACCTATGTTACGCCACTGGTGAGTTGACCAGAATAAATCATATGATATCGTGTTTGGTTTTATTATAATTACGATAAATCTCCAATTATAAAACATAAACCAAGCATATTTTACAATATCTCGCTCGAACAGTAGTCTAATTAACCTACCTTAAAGTGTACACGAAGGTTTGATCCTCTCGCCTTGCATGTTTTTGGAGCCACTTCTGGTTCTTTAGCGTAACGTCCCATCTTCTAACCTTAAAAACAAAACAACAGTTACTCACGGAAAATAATTTGAGACAGCAAAAATATAGTGCACAATCGGTCACATAATACAAGGAAATATAACAATTTCGCGTTTTTTACTCAAAAAACTTACCGATTAATAAAAATAAAATCGGATTATAAACGTGCGACTGATGGTCTGTGCGCGCAACTCTCTGCCACTATAGAGATGGGTTGTGATTTCACGACCTGTGATTTTATCGCGGCGATTGATCAGTCATTTGTTATTTGTCACTGTTAAGGACGTTAAGGTCACGTTAAAGGTGGGTTTATAGCTATCCGTTTGTCACGATCCGGACCGTGTGCGTTTGTACGTTTCCGCCGGCCCGTTAACCAATCAGGAGACAGTAAATTTTTAAATCTTACGTCGTCCGTTTGTACCGGAAAAGTTGGTTCAAGTTGAACTTTTCATACGGCAACTCCAACTTTGTTACTGTGTTTGTGTATTTTTTTATGCTGTTTACCTAACTATGGTAAGTAGTAATGTTGGAGTTTACGTTGTACCAACTCTTCCTCTGAACATGACTCCGTTACTCGAGTCACACTGTGTGTGGCAACGATGTATGATCACGTGTTGTATTCTGTGGTTCGGCATTGTAGATATGTTAGACACAGCATGAGCAGCTTTCCTCTTTCCCTATTCATTCGATTCGATTAGTGACACTAGCGGATATCGTTCATGCTTGTCTTTTGTGTTTTTGAGAGTGCGTTTCTTGCATTTATCTAACGAGTAACGGTCGTCTCGTTGTTAGTTTATAATTACTTTGTCAAAGGATCCTCATCCTATATGGGTGTGCGATCATAATACGTATGGTCATGGTCTTCCGTTGTAAATAAATGAAACGGATAGCTACAAACCCATCTTTATTTGTTACCGACGAAACAGTTGCCAGGCCCGGAACCATTTTTAGGAAAATGTCACTGGTAAAGCCCTCAGAGTAAGAAATAAAGATAGAGATGCCTTGATGCTTATCTATGCGTGCCATCATCTCGTTTGTTTACTAACATTGCAGGACGCTAAGTTGTCACATTTCACGAGATAGTTTTTAAGGGAATAATAATAACATATGCATCTGGAGTAATCTAAATGGATTTTTAGATGCTTATACGAGTTCAGTAACCAAAACAATTTTAACGTACAATCAGCTTAAGTCTGGTGACCATTGTTTAGCAAACAATATTGGCTACAAAACAATTATTGTCTACTAATCAACTTCTTCTTACATTGGTAGTCTGGTGGCCACTGCATTTCAATTATCTAAACAATAATTGAATATGTAACCAACTTTCCAAACAAGTCCTTTTTACACTTGTTGTACTGTAAACAACATTGATTATTGTTTTTATTGGGAAATCTGCGTATTAAATTTTATATACTTAGTGTGATTAATTCGAAATGGCAGATTTTATGCTATTAATTTTTAATGTTATCAACAATGAAGAAAGGTACGTATGAATATGAATATTTACATACATGCATTTTACACTATAGTGTTGCGATTTAGGATTAGAATGAATTTAAACAGAAGACAACTTCGTGATATGAGTGATCCATTTTCGCTTACTGAAGAAACCTTCAAAGGAATTTATAGATTGTCCCGGCAGCTGACTCGTGATTTGATGACAGACTTATCACCCTTTCTGCAGGATAATGAAAGAGTTTTGGGCATTCCTAAACATTTAAAAGTATGTTCTAAATAATCGGATTATGTACATTCTTGTACCGTCCTATAAATGTTGTAGATTTTGGCCACATTAAATTTTTTGGCTCAAGGGTCTTATCAGAAGGCTGTTGGACAGGACTTCTTCTGTCCAATGAGCCAAAAGTCTGTAAGTCGATGTGTAGAGGAAGTAACAGGTGCTTTAGTTGAACATTTTCCACATTTTGTGCATTTTCCTTCAACAGCAGCTGAAAAAACGCAAGAAAAACAATTGTAAGCGTTAATTTTAATTAGGTACATTTTTGGTTAAGTGAAATCTACTTGCAGATTTATGACCGTGCCGCATGGATTTCCAGGAATCATTGGAGCGGTTGACTGTACCCATGTTGCTATAATATCTCCCCCAGTTGAAGATCCTCAATATCCTGCCATAGTGTTTTTGAATAGAAAGGGATATTACAGCATTAATGTACAAATAGTAAGAAACTTTCTTAGCATTAGTCCATTTTTTTTACATAGTCCAATCCATTTTCAGATTTGTAATGCACGTTTAAAAATTCTGGCAATCAATGCAAGATTCCCGGGATCCGTTCATGATGCTGGCATTTGGACAACAAGTATTGTTAAGAACCTTTTGCATACTTCTTATGAGAATGGAGATTCATCGTCATGGTTGATAGGTAAGTGAGGATGTCTAAGAATTAATACAAAATCATTTTGTTAGGAGATGCTGGTTATCCTTTAGAACCATGGCTCATGACTCCTGTCTCAGGTCACAACCTAACTGAGCCAGAAAGGCGGTATAATGTAGCACATAAAAGTATTCGAAATGTAATCGAACGGCTAAATGGTGTTCTGAAGACACGCTTTAGGTGCTTATCAAAGCATAGAGTATTACATTACAATCCAGCGAAATGTGCCAAACTTATATATGCATGTGCTATACTCCATAACATGTGCATACATAATGGTGAGATTGATATCGATATTGATCATAGTAAGTAGCTAATTTTAATTAAGTGAAATGAACACAGCTTTATTTCGTGTAGATGATGAAGAGGACAATAATGATGAACCTCGAAATGCAGAGAATGATCATAATAATTTACATGAGGGAAGAATCATTCGAAACAGAATTATTCGAGATTATTTTCAATAGTATAATTCTCAAAATTTTGCCTTACATAATAGATAGCAGTCTCTTTACTGCTGCCAGAAACTCCTCTAAGGATTGTAATAAAATGTGCAATGTTAATGTCATTCTTTTGGTGTTTTTGATGTATTCCTCTACAGTTCTTAATACATTCTTACTCAACCGATTTCTTCTACTTCTTTCTAAAATGTGAAATTACAATTGACTATATCTAGATATATATTTGCAACCTACTTTTTTGTTTTGGTCTGTTTTCCAGTGATTTAGAAATTTTTTTAAAAATTACCTGTAGATGCATTGCAGTTATGAATAAATAAAATTTTAATTAGTTCATTTTAGCTTACTGTGCTTCGTTTACTATTGCATAATTCAGGAACATCCATACCACTGATTACAAGTTTAGTAATGATGTTTAAGAGCCAATTTTCAATTTCATTTAACTGTATATCAATAGGCATCCCACCACCTGTTTGTAACCGATGTACATACAACTCTCTGGCTTTTCTCTTTGTTCTCGAGGTCCATTCCGTAAAACTCTATAGAAAATTGAATACTTAAGTATATCCTGAAAATAAAGAAAGGTAACTACACCTTTTTCCACTCCTCTACACTTTTGGTTGCCCCCTTTGAGTTATTAAGAATATTACATAACTTGGCAAATTCCTCAGTTGGTATCTCTGTTAGGCACTTAAATTTTTCTAACTGTTTTAAATAAATTTTAAATTGTTCAACAGTTATTTTTGTTTTTCTTTCTAAAATATATATTTATCAAAAGTTGTGTGTACAAAAAACAGTATACAATATGTAAATAAAAATTAAATTAATGACCAATCAATTTTAAGTATGTGCCTTTTTTTCAAAAATATCGCAAAATCTGTGGATACCTCGGGCAATTTCCTGTAGGGCAGAAGCAACCGCCAGAAGACCATCCCTTTGCTCAGCTTGTCCATGCGCGTAAGCATTGAGTAAGGGGTGTTTCATTGAACCTTAAAAAGTAATATATTGAATTATCATATTCGGAAACATTTATTTCTTACTCTTTGTGGTCTTTGGGGTAGCTCTTTTTATGTTCCCCTGAACCTTAGGAGTAGAGGATGGATCATCAACATCCTCAAAATCATCATCACACATTTCAATATGGGTTTCCTACAAGTATTGGGTTTAAAATATTAAAAGAATGTACCACATTTATGTATATAAATACCTGGTGCCCTGTCAGAGTTATTACTACATCGTCATCTGCATTAATCGGTGCTTCGGTGTCTTCAACACCTAGTTCTTGTACCGATGTAATTCCTGACACAGCCACAACACCTGTAGCTTCCAGATATCTTTTTTCCACTTCAGAGAGTAATTTTCCTTCTCGAGCTCTTTTTTTGACAAGAGACTTCCATTCAGTAAAAACCTACACAGTTATTAAGAAATAAGTTTAAAGCTATAACCAAACCGACTGACCTTTTTCCAGCCTTCCACCGTTCTTACAGGTCCACTCCCACAAGAATTTAATTCATCAACGAGAGACGTCCAAAGTTCTTGTAGGATTTCAGGGTTCATACCTGGCTTTAACCTGCCAGTCACGAATAATTTATTATTTTCCAAAGTGCGCACATAAATTTCAAACTGTTCTTTTGTTGTTCGTTTCTTAGCCATTTTAATACCTATTTTCAGAACTAATTATGTGATTTGGTTAATTTGATATATAAACGTAGATATATGGATAAATTGCATGTACTTTTGTGCCTATAAATCTGTAGCGTACTTTAAAGGTTATGTATTACACTCTACTAGAACTACAAAGGAGCATTTGGACTAAAAACAGCTAACTTCATACCATTATCATAATCAATAATCCATTCGATTTCAATATTGAAAATACGTTTACAATGTGGGATTCAGACTACCAAATTTAATCAATATTGTTAACTTCAAAGTTTTAATCTTACTTAGTAACTAATATTGTTTGCTAAACAATGGTCACCAGACTTAAGCTGAATGTCTGCATATTCTAACAGTTACTGTGATTTCTTGGGACTATTTATTACTTTTGTTAAAAAAGCAACGCACAAGTAATTTGGACTATCATATTTTTCGAAGAAGCTTATTGGAACAATTCATTTTATTTTTAAAGATTGGCTCTTCGGCTATTTTTCTTAAACCCATGGAATCTATTACACCCCTTTAGATGAAAAGAAAAGACGGCGCACAGTCCCTGCGTATATGAATTTAATCTTTTTTCTCTTAGAATATTCGAAATTGTTAATTTAGTTAATAAGATAAACTTATTGATATTTTTGTGCATTTTTAGATTTGTTTGTTTGGATTCTTTGACACTGAAAGCAAGGCGGAATTGCAAGGGCAAATCCAAATTTGTGAGTTCATAGTTCAATTTACGTGGAAAGTTAGGTTGTAACACTTCATTGTTGGGTGAAGGGGAACTATTTACAAACGATTTATTACACACATTCTGATTAGCACCTGGTCGTGAATAGAAAAATCTGACATGAAAACTCTATCTGGGCCGCAATTTGGATTCTAATAAGCACACAAATAATTGATTGACCATATAAAAATGTATTGCGAAACACGTAAAAGAATTCAAGCAAAATCCATGAAAGAAAGGAAAACTTTCCTGATTCTGATTTCTATCGCAAACGAATAAATAAAAACGTACGCAAACTTGACCAAATGTGTCTTGATTATCTAAACTGAGCAAAGCGATCGACTTGAAAACTACGCAATTACAAACAATTCTAAAAAGAAAAGCAAACACTGAAATACAAATTCAAATGAAACGAACCAAATTTGCGCCTATTTCGTAAATAATCTCCCAGACTCACCCAATAAATTGAAAAATTTTCATATACAGGATGTCCCGTCATTATTTTTGATGTTTGAACCGAAATAACGTCATTGTTTACACAACACATTACTTTGAGTGAAAGTTGACAGTCTCTGAATTATATTGCGCGAATCGTGAAATACATAGGCATTAAAGTTCCCACCTCACTCCACTTTACTTTCTGATCATAAGTAATGCTAAAGAGAAGAGGCGTAATAATCTTCATT